AAAGTGAGACTTGATCTCAAAAAAAAAAAAAAAAAAGAGGGCAGCTGTCAACCATGGAGCCTTCAAGTTGGAAAGGTCTTGGCGTCATCTAGACCAGGCACCTGTCCTATACAGGAGCTCTTCTCCAACTCCCAGCAAGAGATTTTCCAGGCTCCATTTGGTCAAGCTTTGATTTTTGGAAAGAGCTCTCAAATCTTCTTAGGAAGTATTTCTCAGTGTGCAACTTTAGAGAAGTCAATAGCACTGCTCTTTTTTTTTCTTTATTATTTATTTATTTTTATTGAATGGTAACTATGTACACTAATGCACTTCTGGGGTACAGTGTGGGGTTTTCACACACAATCCGAAACACTTCCATCAAACTGGTCAACATAGCCCTCATGTCATTTTCTTAGTTATTGTTTAAAAATGTTCACATTCTACTCTTAGAAAGATTCACCTGTACCCTTGTAAGGTAAACCTCAGAAGTGATCTCTCTAATCCTCCTCCCTCCACCCTTCCCCTCCTCCCCTATCCCTCCCTCCTCCCCGTATTCTTAGGCTGTTACTAGGTTATAACTTTCATATAAAAGGTATAAATTAGTTTCATAATAGAGGTATGTACATTGGATACTTTTTCTTCCATTCTTGTGTTTTCTTTATTTTTTTATGGAGACAGAGTCTTACTTTGTGGCCCTCAGTAGAATGCCATGGCATCATAGCTCACAACAACCTCCTACTCTTGGACTCAAGCATTTCTCTTGCCTCAGCTGCCCAAGTAGCTGGGACTACAGGCATCCACCACAACACTCGGCTTTTTTTTTTTGTAGAAACGGGGTCTCACTCAGGCTCAGGCTGGTTGCAAACCTCTGAGCTCAGGGCAATCCAGCCGCCCTGGCCTCCTAGAGTGCTAGGATACAAGTGTGAGCCATCACGCCTGGCCAGTAGCACTGCTTTTTGATGAATGCTTGGGGTGAACATGGCCTCCATCGTGTTGAATGTAGAAAATTCAGGGGATTTGTTGAAATTTTGAGCCAGTAACTTAAACCTAACCACCATGCCTCTTCCTATAAGAACTCCCAAGGATAAAGAGTTGTGTATAAGGAACACTGGCCTTTGAGGCTTGAAGGCCTCAACGTCCCAGCTCCTGCAGCACCATGGGAAAATTGAATGTAAGCATATGTCAGCCCCAAGGGTCTCCCATACCCCAGGCCTGACTCTAGCTCTTGGGATCTCAGCACAGGTGACTGTACACTTTGACATTGACTGTCGTTACTTCAGGAGACATCTATGTGCGTGGGTTTTGCATACTTACACATGTATAAGTGATCTGTAGGATACATACTAGAAATGCAATTTCTAGATTAAAAATTATGTGGATATTAAATTAACATTTATTCATGTAGACAAATTTTCTCTGAAAAAGTTGCATCAAGGGCAGCACCTGTGGCTCAGTGGGTAGGGCTCCAGCCCCATATAC